GAGGGGAGAAAAGGTAATGCAATCTGAAAAAAAAATTATTAATGTGTTCATCCATGAATGGAGCTTCTGATTGGTGCTGTGTGGCAGTGTTGAAAAGCAATCAATACATCAATCAAATAAGGTACATGCATCACAGATAAAATGCATTGAAAAGCTGTTGATCTACAAGTGAACTGAACCATGAAATAACTGAGGCAGCATCTTTCAGAATCATGGGGTTTGCAGGCAAGCATTTCCTCTTTTCCCCTCTGCCTTGTTCCTTTTCCTGCGCTTGCTACAACTTTTGCACACTAACTCAACCACAAATAATAATAATAATAATGATTTAATAATGATTTTGTTTTAATGCAGGCTAATTAAAACAAACATCAGCAAAAAACAACACAAGCCAAAAGTGCCAATAACTGAACTTGTATGGCCACAAACACTATAAAAACGATTGACAAAATTACCGTACACTGTATTTCCTAGAATGATAGCTTTCCCTCATTTAATCGCCTCCCTCGAATAATACCCCCCACCCCTCTCGCCATCTTGGAGAACTAAAAAAAGCCCATGTTTAGTTTATGTGATGTGATTTTATTTTGATTTAGTGGGGTAATAAAAATATATTTAGGGCCTGACTTCCAGTGAGAAATATTTGATATAACCGCCTCCCTAAAATAATCACCTTCCCTTGAATAATCGCCCCAAGTTTGCGGCGAAAAATAAAAATAATCGCTCCTGATAATTATTCAAGGAAATAGGGTATTTACTTTCGAACTACATTTCACTTGAATGATTGCCACTCATTACAAACTCAAGTGCTCATAAAAACACAGTGTTCATTAGACAATGTAGCTTCGTAATACATTTTCAACTGAGCATTGGGTTTACCTTGGGGGAAGCAGTATTAATCAAAATCAATATACTGTCACTAAACCTCCTGCTGCCTCGAAGCATGACCACTCAGCCAAAAGAATATTCAACTAGCAAAGTAAATCATGACACTGCCCACCTAGACTAGCCTTTGCTATTTGTGGGTAGCGAGAAAATAAAATTGTAAATATCTGAATAAACCAATAAATTAAAAATAAATAAATAAATGTATTTTATAATACCTTTAGTGTCTGGCGGGGAGGAAGATATAGGTGACTTTCCCTTAGATTGTTTGGGCTGCTGTTGCCTTGATTTTCCCTGTGTTGCTTCAGATGTCGGTATGCTTTTATCTGATGAGACAGTAGACTCTTTTGCAGAAGGATCTCTTACATCTCGCTTTTGTTCCACTGAAGGTGGCGATGGATTCTTTGTTTCTGAAACGGATGAACAAGCCCCAAGTGTTTCTTCTGCTTTTGAGGCAGGGGAACTTGCACTTGCCGCTGGTTTCTCCTCTCCTTCAGCAAACTGGTGAGCAATTTCTTCCCTTTCATCACGAGGTTTTGATGCACCTTCGCTTCTTCCTGGAGTAGACAACGGCTCTTGTCCTCTTCCTCTTCCTCGTATGCCGCCAGCAGAACCTCGACCCTTAGATTTTCGTTTATTTTTGCCTTTCCCGTGACCTGGAGAAGACATTTTATCATCTAATTTTTAACTTTGCCAAGACATTATCATCATCACATAACCTTTTCGCCTCCTCGTATCAACGACGATTGCGACAAACTTTAAAACTCTTCCCAAAATATAAAACGCTTACTTGCTTGATCTTGTAGGGGAATAACCATGACGTAGCCAACAAAATTTTCCAGTGTCAACCAATGAAAATCATCTCTCGAATTCTTAGAAAGCAAAAATTCATTTCCGCTTCCTTTCCAGGTAAGAAGAAACAATCCAATGAAATTGTTAAGGAAATTGTTTGCGGCGAAGAAAAGAAATCAGAAAAAGGAAAAATCTCTGGTTTTGGACTCCATTCGTTCGCCATGAAAAGTACGAGGCCCGCAGTCGTATTGGTGGGGTGGTCAGTGGCACCTTTCTTGAACTGAGAGCAAGTACCTCATATATGGTAATTTTAATGTACCGATATTCAAGGTTGTTTTATGCCGGGGTAAAAAAAACTCGACGTCTATTTCCTTTGTCGTCTTGTGTACTTGCTATGGCTCAGTCAATTCCAAGCGTGCCCATCCCCCCCCCGGGCATTTGTCGGGTTTTTGTCATTTTTGTTTGGAAAACCTGCAAATGCCCCTCAGTGTGGCAGGACGGTTCATTTAAAAAAACACGCAGAGGCTTAAAGAAAGTGTGCAAATGCCCACCCCGGGACAATACCAAAACTTCATTTTCCTGTAAATAAGCTGCAAATGTCATATTTGTGGGAATCTGTAAAAATCTGAAATCGCTTCTAACCACTGGTTAT